CCCCACCCCCCCAAAATTTAAAAGGCTAAAAAAAGCTATTTACATGTATCTTTTCTTATTCGCATCTCTTGACCTTCGCTGTTATTCGCTTACATGTCGCCAGGAGGCGACCTCATTAAGAGATCGAATAATATGTTGAAATATTTTTTATCAGTTTTACGAGTTTGGAGCATGCGTGGTGTGAAATAATGTTGTTAATACAACAAAAAAAGCTGCATTGCCACTCTAATTCATTCAAGGAATTAATTAATTTTTTCAAACTTCCTAACGGTAAATTTTTATTGCACCCTCCAGAGAAAACTATTCTTTTTAATTCTTTGGTCGCCTGCATAGTTACTTTCTTTTGACTAGGCCATCGTTTAAAACCCAAGAAACGGTGCCTCATTGATGTTAGAGTGCCAAGGCCTTGGAAGTAATCTTAGTGAGAATAAACAACAAGTGTGAAGAACTGTGTGATTGCTTGTAGAGTAAATGCCCTTACAATAAGTACAATGGTCGTATACTTGAACTGAACTGTGGAAACTTACGTTTCCGATACAAATGAACAATGGAACATTTTAACTAGTGTGTACTAATATTAGCAAAAATATTTGCTCAATTGTGATAGCGCAGGACTTGTTCCTTTTATTGCTTAAAAAAATAGGATCACTTCGTTTAAGTTTCGTCCAGCCACTGCGCTGAGGTGATTGGTACCAAAGAAGTTCAGTCGTAAATTAAAGTTTTAGCTTCCAGTTGAGCCAACATCAGTGAATTACGCCGGAGTCATTAGTTTTCACTTTGTTTTCGAAGCACGGTTTTGGCTTTTTGGCTTTCGGACGAATGCCCATTTTGACCAATCAAAACTCAGCGCTTGGACGAACGAGTGATGTGAGCAAACTTTTTTAAATTCAGGTTTTGTGTTTGAAAGTCAGTTAGTTACCTACAGCTGTACAGTTTATAGAGATGTAGAATTAAACGTCTGTTGATCCAAATCTTTTCTATGTCCCCCTTTTAGTAAAAAATCTAAAGAAACAGTGGGTTATTGGTCATTGACTTTGAAGGGTTTTTCTGCCATGACAAAACGTACCTTACGTCAGTGGGGGTTGGTATAAGAAAGTGTTGGCTACAGCTCTCGCACGTCTTCCCTCCCCCTGTTGGGGGAAGTTTAGTAACTCGGCCCAGGTTTGACAGTGAGAAAGGTGCTCTCTTTTCGGTCTCACGAAAAATGGCGGCGATTCGTGGGCGGAGTCGTGAGTTCAAAGGACGTTTTTGAGATCGGAAATCAACTAGTTTGCTTTGACATTTTTTTGGCGAACTTTTCGAACTGGTGTTCGTTGGCTTTTCTAAACTTGCTTTCCTTCTTGTCGCTTTCTTAGTACACAACAGACGGTTAAAAGAAAAATCGCACTTACGGCTCTTAGAAGCGCTACAAACACAGGAAAACACCAAAAAACAACAGTAAGTAAGGTTTTAAAACTTATTAATACTCTTAAAAGGGAAAAAAAACGATATTTACAACTCAATATTTCCAAATGCATACAAACTCTTATGGTAAGAGTTTGTATAGTATATTTGGTTGCCTGTGGTATGTTAATAGACTGACGTGTTAATCATCCACAGCCAAAAGTATTCGCTTGAGAACCTACACGACTTGACTAGTCGATCCCCCAAAAGACTCCACATCAATACTCCTATTTGCAAAATAGTCGTAAAAAGCATGATATTGGGATTGATTGTAATAAAGCGTTACAGCAATATCCTTGTCTTGTTTTCGGCCTGGGCTGCCGGCTGGTTCTGTAACAAAGTACTTTCAAAACGCACGAAGTGCTGTCACAGAAGAAGAACCTAAGTTTTAAAGATTTTCTGGAAAGAATACCACCCCCCCCCC